TTTAATGAAAATGTTTATTAATTATCATTGAGCTTACACTGTAATTTATTATTATCTTCACAAGCTTTAAATGGTCATTCTATCTTGATAGTTTTTAAAACTTTATTTCTATTTGGAAGATACATAACTATATCATTTACTTCCATTTTTTGGCTTTGTAGTTGTCATTGTTTAAAATTTGACTAATCTTGTTTTCTTTATTTTCTATGTTATAGATTTATTTTTGTTACTTATAAATTTTGAATGATTTCTGTATTATGTTATATGTCTCAGTCTCAGGTTGTTGTCCATCATTGCTTATTCCCATTTTCTGTAATGTTGTTCTGGTTCTTACAAAGTCCCACAATTTTTGGTTTATCTGGAGGATGTTCTAATTTTGCCATTGTACCTAACATAAAATGTTGGTTAAGTAATTCTTGGTAATATATATATATATATATATATAAAATTTATTTCATTGTTTTTATATGCATTATCCCATTGCTTTCTTGCTTGCATGGTTCTGCCAAGAAATTTAAACTTGGTGTTACTGATCGTCCTTTATAGATCACTTCCTTCCATGAACTGCTTTAAGGATTCTTTCTTTGCCTTTGGTTTTGGAAAGTTTGATTATGATTTGCCTTTGTGATTTTCTTTATAAGTCTATCCTATCTGGGTTTCATCAACTTTCTTGAATGCATATTTTCTCATCTTTCCTGATAGTGTGGATATTTTCTTTCAATAAATATTTGAGAATTTGTGTGTGTGTTTGTGTGTGTGTGTTGGTCTTTCTTTTATAGCACTGGCATTGGAATGGGATTTAACTCGCCTCCAATGGTTGGGGGTGGTGATAAGCTGTGCCTCACAAACATCAGTCTCTGTGATCTTAAGTCCAGAAAAATTAGATGCTATCTGCTTACCACTAACAACTCTTTGAGAGAAATCATATTAGAAAGTGCTGGATTGAATGTGGGATACATATTATCCCTAATCACCCTTAAAATTTGGAACTGGACTTATCCCTATGGCTCAATTTTTAAGCAAGCAATAGGCAAACTGATAAGAGGAAAAATAATACTAGTGAGGTGAACGCCTTAGAATAGTCAAATGTTTGAGATAAAGCAGTTAACATTTACACAAGGACAAAGTTCAGAAGGGTTAGGATAGAAGGAGAAATGGAAGGAGGAACACAGGGAGAAGTGGGATAGGTGATATTTACAGAGAGGAGATTAAAATAATTGAGATGACAAAATGTGTTTGAACTGTTGAATGTAAAGTTTGTAATGTTCTCTATAAACATTTACGCAATTCACAAGAAAAAATTTTCTCTAAGTTATTTTGAGTCTGGCTATGAAATTATCCTATGTGAGGTTTATTCATCTTCTCAAACTTTCAGGTTTATGTCTTTTGGCAGGTCTAGGAAATTTTCTTCATATACTTACCTCTCCAAATACTTTTTCAGTTCAACATTCTCCTCTTTGGATTGCAGCAATGCAAGCAAAATAATCATCTTGTTCAAAGATCTTAGTTCAGACTCCTCAGTGCCACCCCCTCCCCACCACCCTACAGTTTATTTTCTTACAAAGAGTAGATTCTCTTTGGTTTCAAGTTCACAGATTTTTTCCTTCTATCATCTTTACTATTGAAAAAAATCTATGGCTATTTTTTTTACTATTATATTTTTCACTTCTATAATTTCTTTAAAATAACCTGTATTTTTGTTGTTTTATAGCTTTATATCATTACAATCTTTTTTGTTAAGCTTTATGAAGACTGATTTAAAATATTTGCCAAAAATTATAGCTGATTCACTCAATATCAGCATTAATTCCTTGTCTTATTTCTTTAAGTTGAGATCTTCAGAATCCTTGCATAACAAATGATTCTCAAATATATCCTGGACATTTTTTAAAGTATGATAGAAGACTCTTGATTTTCTTTAAATATTATATTTTAGCAGGTGTTTGCCATTTCTGGTCATTCTCCATGGCTTCAATGGCATTACATATGGAGGATGATGGTTCCACTGTCTGTGGACCAAGCACTGGAGCAAAGTCCACTGACTGCTGAAATGATCAGTCTGCCATTCATTGATGGGCTGCCCCACTCCAGGTTCTGATAGTGACCTTGACACAGGGGGACGAGTATGTGGCAAGAGATGAATTTTCCCATCCTTCTTTTGCTACCTTGGGTGACATTACCTTGGTAAAATGAGCCTTAGATGACAAATATGAAGTAGGACACATGTTGGTACAAACCTCTGTTAATGCTGCAACTCAGTGGAAGTGAGTTGTTAGGCCTCTTTTTTAAGTTCTCAGGAAGGAAACCAGCTATTAGAAGGGAAGTGTCAGCAAAAGAGTAGATTGAATGAGTGCTAAGAACGTAGTTTTCCATTCACCCTTTCCATACCAAAACAAAACTTAAGCAGTAGCAGGAAGCCTCCTTTATGGATAGGATATGAACTCTGAAAGTTTTAAATCCCCACAGTCTCTCAGAACAGTTAGTCACAAATCCCTCTGACTAATGAGGGCACATTACAAAGTCGGATAAGAAAGTTCTCTGCTTCTCTGATGAGGAGAAAGGGAATCCCCTCTGGTCTCCTCCACAGAACCAAACCTCTAGAGTTGAGGAGCCTCAAGCTGTGATGGTAAACAATCAAAATATTTAAGCAGAAAAAGAAAGTTTCCAAATCATTATAAGTTAGTTGGTAGTAAAGTCTCATCACAGTACATATGGCCCAGCCTCCCAACACATGTCATCACAGAATTCTAGGACCATAGAAATCTGAGTACTGCATAAACCCTGCACCCTCTTCCTCACTTCTCAGCAAGGGAGACTTAGGACTGGAATGCACGAAGACTTTCCCAAATTCACTAAAACACCAGTGATAGGTGAAGAATCAGCTCTTTTCATATGAGTTCAATTTCTGTCTCTTTTAAGAGGAGAACAAAGCTTGCTTCTAACATTGTGAAGACTGTCTTTTGGAAGACTAACTACTAATTGTGGCAGTGAACTGTCTTCCAAGTATTGATAAGGTACACAAGGTAGGAAACACAGTGAATTGTTACCATGCTCTCATAATTAATTGTCACTGCAGAAGTAAAGGGTCTTTGGGACAAAATTGTTTATTTTCTCCAAATCATCATTTCTCTTTGAATTTTAAAATGATGTGTAATTTTTTTGAGTGAATTCATTTTTATTTCCTAATTATTATTATTCATATATAATAAGATATAGATACAGGAAGACAAAGAAGAAAACTGAAAAAAGAGAAAAGGTAGATAGGAAATGAGAAAGACTATAGATTATTTCATTATTAAAGAATTAAGATCTTGTCAGGTTTAAGAGGACAAAAAGAATCAAATGATACCGGTATGGTAAAGCCCATTAGGGTGTGGGTTATTTCTAAAACATTTATAATTAGGTCATGTTTCTATTGATTTTCCTGATCTTGTGTAACCAGTTAAGTTTTATGAGAAGGCTTCATTTTAGCCTGAAGTATGCCTAGGCATTACCGCTTCAGAAACTCAAATGAGACAGCTCTCCTCTGCTTGTTAAGGTTCCTGTGAGTTGTAGCCCACTTGATGGCAATGAGTTTGGTTTGCTTTTGGTTAGACCTAATTATAGTAATAAGTCTATTCATCTCCAGGCCCACAAATCATTATATCATACTATACTGAGTAAAAAAGCAAACAAGATTGTTGTTTTCAGATTAAGCACTGTTTTCTTTATTACTCCCCCCATCCATCCAACATTTATTTGTTATAATCATCTTCTTAAAATTATTTTGGGAAACATAGAAACATATAATTCTTTGCTTAGGGAGCAGCTTAGAGAAGTAGAAAGCATAATTAAAGTCAAACAATATTTTTTCAATTCAAACACGTTGATTCTAGTTCTAAATTTGTCAAATTCTAAATACAATTGTCTTATTAGTAATCATAGCTGTCCTACACATTTCTTGTCTGTTCTATGCACTCCATAGCTATGCCAAAAGGAGTAGAAATTGGTAAAAATGTGAAAGCATTTGACAGTATATGGACATTATTATTGCTAGTTATTAAATATATCTGCATGGAAGAAGGAAAAGCAATAGTTCATTATGATACAAGGCCAAAGGTTTCTGTTAATTAACTATAAGCACATGCAACATCCTGTAGAAATCAGAAGAAGATGAGATTAAATACGATTTAAAATCATTACAGAAGTCATGGAGCTACTAAATATAATCAATTGTATAAGATGCTTATTGGGGCATAAAGAAACAGTTGAAACCTCAACCATAACCTGCATTATACTTGCATAAACAATCTGATTACAAATACCATCCCATAATGTAAGTAATCTTAAGGGTCCTCTGTTATACTATCTTTCTTTTTATTCTCTCTTCTCAGATTAGCTGTAAGGAAGCTTGTCCCTAGTTTTCTTTCACTATTTCAGAACCTGATTGTCTTTTGCATGAAAAAACAATGATTTTTGGCCTTCACTAGCAAGTGTAAGTCATTATTCAAGCTGCAATCTAAGATGACTAGGGAGCGAACTCTCAGCTTTCACCCATAAATATTCATGAACCTTATATTTTGGGGTGTTACTGTCTGTGTCAGATTCTAACTCTGGGTTTTACTCAGTTCCTAGTGTTGTTCAGCATTCACCATCTGATCTGACTCTCCAAGTGCACACCTGCATCCTCTTCACCCAAATAGAAGTTGCATTACTTTTTCACTTACTGCATTCCTAGCCCAAACAATTATTTTTAAAAATTGATGAGAGCAAACATTTCTGGCACTTAGTAAAAGACAACAACAACATAACCCCAATAATATATTGCTGGGTGAATGAAGAAATGGTTGAATCAGTGGAACACATCATCTACATAAACAGCGCTTTGAGAAACTAAGTGGAATACCATTAGTAGCTGTAATTACCTGACATTTTTTCTCATTCTTTTTAATACCTGAGTATTAATAAGATTACACTTGACTATAATCATGAATAAAGGAGAATTGAAGTTTACTTGTTGTTTCTTTCAGATTGAAGATTTTAAACTATGCAAGTCAACCGGACGACTGTGAAAGAATTCATCCTTATTGGCTTTTCTCTTTATCCAAATATACAGACTTTATTATTTATAATCTTCTTTTTCCTCTACCTTCTCACCCTCCTGGGAAATCTGACTATCATGGGTCTCCCTTGGGTGGACAGAGCCCTTCACATCCCTATGTACATCTTCCTGAGTTCACTCTCCTTTTCTGAGACCTGCTATACGCTGAGCATCATCCCCAAGATGCTGTCAGACCTGCAGTCTAAAACCAGAAGCATGTCTGTCATAGGCTGTGGCTTGCAGATGTGTTTCTTCTTAGGACTTGGTGGCACCAATTGCATCATCCTCACTCTAATGGGGTATGATCGCTTTCTGGCCATCTGCAACCCTCTCAGATATCCACTGCTTATGACTAACATAGCATGTGGGCAACTTGTGGCCTCTGCGTGGGCTGGGGGTTTCTTTATCTCTCTGATAGAGACAGCACTAATATTTAGAGAATTTTTCTGCAGTCCCAACCTTGTCAAACACTTTTTCTGTCATATGCGGGCAGTTGTGAGGCTATCTTGTTTAGGCAGTAACATCACAGAATTAATTGTCACATTGATAAATATTGTCACAATATCAGGTTTGCTGGGCACCTTCATACTTATTGTCCTCACTTATGTTTTCATCTTTTCCACTCTTCTAAGGATCCCTTCAGCTGAAGGCAAGCAGAAAGCATTTTCTACCTGTGCCTCCTACCTCACCGTGGTCATAATCCATTTTGGTTTTGCATCTATTGTTTATCTGAAACCAGAAGGTTTGAGAGGAGATGACACACTCATAGCTGTCCCTTACACTGTTGTTACTCCTTTCCTCAGCCCCCTCATCTTCAGCCTCAGGAACAAAGACATGAAGAATGCTTTCAGAAAGGTCCTGGGGAACATAGTGACCTACAATAAATGATATTGTATTAGCGTGCTGGTTTAAAACATTACTGAATGTCTTCAGAAGTCAGGAGGTGATTTACCTGATGACTTCTGTAGAACTTGGGTGCCGTTTGATCTTTTCCAGAGGTTAAAATATGGGAAATATTTGACAAACCCTGGAATCTATGCTATAACAAGTATTTCCTTAATTCTTTAAGAAAGTTATTTACTACTTCTCCTTTCTACTATCCGAGGAAGAATATTTCTGCACATACTAGATTCTGCTAAACCATGTCTCCATGTTCTAGACCAGTTATGGTGTGTAGAAGGATAAAATAATGCAGATCAACATATTAAAACAATAACATTTGAGCATTTTGTCTAGGTAAGGATTTTAAACACTAGGCTGCATTTCCTGGGAGATAAATCATGTCTGACAAGAAAGAGAACCAGGTAATAACCAACAAGCATATATGGATTGAGATTTTTTTATGTGTCAGTGATTACTAAATATTTTAAAAATATATGCTACTTATGACTGTGTTCTTTATACAATTGCCAGGTATTAAACTTTACAGAACGTCCCCAAACATAGAATGAAATGAGTAAACAAAACTTTGGAGTTTGTACCTTTCATGCCAAGAACAATCCATGAAGGAGAGCTGGAAATTTGCTCCACCTAGTATGAAGTGAAGATTAAAAGTAAATATGATGAATTATAGTATTGAGAATTGTCAAAGAAAGATGGTTATGGATAATTTGATCAATATATAGAACAATTAAGGGAAGAAAAATAGAGAAACACATAATAAGATAACCTTTGTAAGAAAAGTACAAACACTGGGGATTATATAATTAGGAAGCAGTGAGTGATCTTAACAAAACTTTGAGTCCTTTTCCTGTTTTAATTGTTAACCAACAAAGTGACCTCTTATGAAAGGTATACATTTTACTTGGGTGTTTGGGTGCATATAAATGATTTGTTGCTGTTGTCATCTTTATTTTTTTAATCATTTTATTGGGGGCTCATACAACTCTTTTTTTTTAAATCATTTGGGGGAGGAAGGTAGCTCTTCAGCTGGAGCCCACAAGCCCAGCACACTGAACCCAGGGTGGTTTAATACGTTCTTGGTTCGCTTTGTGAATAGAAATCACACTCAAAAATGGGGTCAGTACAGATCCTAGTACCTCAGTTCTAATTTCAGGACTCTGCCTCCCAGTCTCCTTCACCTTACCTCCCAATTTGCAGGTATGGCAGCAGGAGCTCCGGGCAGGTGAGTCTTAACTAGATGCCATCTTCCCAAAGTCTATCCAACTCTCATCACAATCCATCCATCCATCCATTGTGTCAAGCACATTTGTACATTTGTTGCCATCATCATTCTCAAAACATTTATATGAAAGTATTAGAGTTTCTGAACCTCATTATTTACAGGTCTCTTGTTACCATAAATATGATAATATGTGAAACTTAGTATGCATCCTTATCACGACTCTATGTCCTCTCCTGGAACTTTTTTCATGGTACATTTCTTCTTTCTTCAATGTGTGGTCACTGCTTCAGTGGCAACACTGCTTCATATGCTTTGTTCTGACTCCTAAGAATGGGTTACTCAATCTAGGAATGCTCACTAAAAATAAAAGTCCATTGTCATTGAGTTAAGAGTTAGAGAGGAGAACTGGGCCCCATGGGGTTTTCCTGCTGCACTCCTTATGGCAGCAACTAGCAGCCTTTCATCCATGGTGCCTGTGGGCAGATCTGAACCACCAATATTCTGAAGGGCAATACGTTAGCATCACTCATTGGAGCTCTACATAGGTAAGCTTATCAAATGGTACAGTACTGTGACATACAGTTGGGTAGTTTTCCAAAGTGCTAAACATAGGATTGCCGTGTTATTGTGATGTTGCTGGTTGATTGCTAGGTGATTCTGACACATGGGGACTCCCTGTGAGTGTGTGCAGAGTAGAACTGGTAGAGGGTTTTCCGGGCTGTGACTTTTCAGATGCAGATCTCCAGTCCTTTCTTCTAAGCTACTTTGAATGGATTCAGACCTTTAACGTTTGGCTGGTTAGGACTGAACACATTGTCCCATTCAGGGGCTCCTCTAATTACGACGGGAGATGTAATTAGATGTAATCACCAACCTTCCAGTGAGCAACTGCAACCACTGTGCCAACAGGGACCATTGGGAATCACAATATCCCCTGCCATCTAATCACTGACAACTCACTGCAACCCTCTATAGGGTTTCTGAAGCTGTAAATCTTTACGGAACCACAGAGCCTCATCTTTGTCCCAGAAAGCAGCTTGTGCTTTTCAATTACTGACCTTGAGGTTAGTAGGCCAACATTGAACCCATTACACCACTAAGGCTCCTTATTAGTCATAAATTACAGGGAAGGAATATAAGTATATCCACATACACTAAAAATTATTGCAATAGTATTCATAATACTCCAAAAGAATAACGATGTAAGTGTCCATCACAGAAGGATGTAGAGACAAAATTTGGCTGAGGCACACAGTGGAATATTATTCACTGATAAAGAGAAATTAACTCCTGATGCATGCTACAGTGTGGATAAACCTTGAAAATTAAGTTAAGCACTAATAAAATAAGTTATATTCAAAATGGTAAAAATTGATTCTGCTCCTCAACATGCAGAATAAGTAAGAACATAGAGACAACGTTGATTGTTTGCTTAGCAGGGACTACAGGAAGGAGGAATGGGGAGTTATTACTTAAGGGTCACTCAGTTTGCTTGGGGTAATGAAAAGCAATCAGAAATAGATTGTTGTGATGGTTATACAACCTATTGAATGTATTTAATGCCATTTGATTTTACCACTAAAAGTTTTATTATGGCAATGTTTTAATATATACTACTATGATGTCACTTAAAAGCCCATCTGTAGGCAATTGGACATCCCCTTACAGATGAGTTGCGGGGAGCAGGCAGACCAGCTTGTGTGCAGTATAGCACGGATGAAACATACAGCTATCCTCTAGTTCTTTAATGTTCCCCCGCACCCCCACTCTAATGACCTCAATTCTACCTTACAAATCTGTCTAGACCAGAGCATGTACACAGGTACAGCTAAGAGGTGGGAACACAGGGAATCCCGGAGAGATAACCCCTCTAGACCATATTGAAAGCCATACCAGGAGGGTAAGGGGTAAGTTGTGGGAGAAAAGGGGAACAGATCATAATAATGTACCTATCACCCCCTCTCAGGGGGATGGACAACAGAAAAGTGGGTGAAGGGAGACATTGGTTAGTGTAAGATATGAAAAAACAAATAATAATTTATAAATTATCATGGGTTCTTGAGGGATGGAGGGTGGGGGAAGGAGAGGAAGAATGAGGAGCTGATACCAAGGGCTCAAGTAGAAAGAAAATGTTTTGAAAATGATGATGGCAACAAATGTACAAATGCGTTTGACACAATGGTTAGCTGAATAGATAGTGAGAAGAGTTGTATGAGCCCCCAATAAAATGATTTATTAAAAAAAAGAAATATATAAGGGAGAGGGGGAAGTGGGGGAAAGGAAGTGATTTTAACCTACCCAGGAACAACAGAACATCAAGTGATCAAGGGCAATGTAACCGAAAGGAATTACTGAAACCCAAATGAAGGCTGAGCATGATAGTGGGACAAGAGGAAATTAAAAGGAAATAGAGGAGAGAACTCGGAGCACAGGGCATTTATAGAGGTCTAAATACAGCCATGTACATATGTAAATATATTTATATATGATGGTGGGGAAATAGATCTACATGCATATATTTAGAGGTTTAGTATTAAGATAGCAGATAGACATTGTGCCTCCACCAAGTACTTCCTCAAGGCAAGAACACTCTGTTCTATTAAACTGCCATTTCATGATGCTCATCTTCCTGATAGGATCGCTGAAGACAAATGGGTGCATAAGCAAATGTGGTGAAGAAAGATGATGGTGCCTGGCTATCAAAAGATATAACCTCTGGGGTCTTAGAGACTTGAAGATAAACAAGTGGACATCTAGCTCAGAAGCAACAAAGCCCACGTGGAAGAAGCACACCAGCCTGTGTGATCACGAGGAGCTGAAGGGATCAGTTATCACGCATCAAAGAACAAAACATCATATCATCATTGTGAATGAGGGGAAGTGCAGATTGGGAACCCAAAGCTTATCTGTAGGCAACCCGACATCCCCTTACAGAAGGGTCACAGGGAGACCAGATAGTCAGGGTGCAGTATAGCAATGATGAAACATACAACTTTCCTGTAGTTCTTAAATGCTTCCTCCCATTCACTATCATGATCCCAATTCTACCTTACAAATCCAGCTAAACCAGAGGATGTACACTCATACAGATAGGAACTGGAAACAAGGGAATCCAGGACAGCTGATCACTTCAGGACCAGTGGTGAAAGTGGCAATACCGGGAGGGTGGAGGGAAGGTGGGGTGGAAAGGGGGAACCAATGACAAGGATCTACTTATAACCACCTCCCTGGGGGATGGAGAACAGAAAGCTGGGTGAAGGAAGATGTCGGACAGTGTAAGACATGACAAAATAGTAATGATTTATAAATTATCAAGGGTTCATTAGGGATGGGGGAACGGGGAGGGAGGGGGAAACATGAGGAGCTGATACCAAGGGCCTAAGTAGAAAGCAAATATGTTGAGAACGATGAGGGAAACAAAAGTACAAATGTGCTTGACACATAATAGATGTATGTATGGATTGTGATAAGAGTTGTACGAGCCCCCAATAAAACGATAAAAAATATATATATAAAGTAAGGCCAAGTTTTTTTTTTTATTGTGTCTCCATCTCTTGTCTTTTTCTTCCTCAGACCTTTCACCTCATGGCATACAAAACCAAAGCAAATATAAGGTCATAGAGAATTTTAAAAGTATATGTTTATGTCTTTATACTATTATGATTTTATCCTTCCCACCTTAGTGTGATTTTTGTTTTGTACTGTATTCTGTTGGCTTTCCCATCTGTGAAGCACAGGAGGAGTGGATACATAATGATAAATA